CCCGTTTTCCGAACACGTTGCGGTGCGGCAGTGTGCGGCAGAGATGAAGGCCTGCCCAACAAAAAACCGACACCGACACGCGCTATGAGAGTAGCGGCCTGAAGAGGTTAGGGATTTTAGTTGGATACTCTGTATAGATACAGATGCATATATACGTATATATAGATACATATATCGGACAAAAGGCACGCTCGATCTGTTGAATGTCTGACGTCGTTGTCGGCATTTGTTTCACTTGATTTGTGACATTAAAGAAAAGTTATAAAAACGCCGACACAACCGGCCCAGGAGGCCGGGAGGTTTGCTGTTGGTTCGATCGAGTTTTGTTGTTGGCTAAAAACTGCAATCGAAAAGCACTGCCAATATCAGGCATACTTGTGCCCATCGAAAAGATTTCCCCTCCAACTTGATGATGATGATGATGATGACGATGACGCCTGCCCTGAACTTCAGACGCTGATAAGCCCAGCTGTGCGGGGGGGAGCACAGAGCGCAGGGAGTCGCCTCGCCAACGTGTAACTGTTTTGGGTAGGCGCATCGATTATCGGCGTTTAATTAAACGTTACGAGCCGCCAGTCGCCAGTCGCCAGCCGCCAGTCGCCAGACCACAGCACAGTTCCCCTGTTGCGCCTACCCCTCGAAATAATTGCTACTGGTATTTAGCAAGCATTCCCCATGCCTCCTGATAAGATTTCCTGCTCCGCGAATGGTTGGGCGGCAGCGGGGTGGAGGGTAACAAAAAAACAAAAAAATTGTGGCAGATTTCTTTGGCTGATAGTGAAATAATATTTTTTGTTTTGTTTTTGTTTTGTGACTCGTTTGATTTTTGCCGGCAAACCAATCGATAAGTGCCATGCCAAATTGTGGTTGTAAATTGAAGTCAAGTGTCGGTAAAAATAAAAAACTATACGTATACAAATATAAAGGTATATAGAAAACAAAAAACAACACTAATTGGAAAGCACTTGATGATCTATGATCAGGCGGCGCGGGATTATGTCCAAGTGCAAGTGAAGGGAATTAAAAGTCCAGTTTGAGTGTTAGTTGCTGCCTTAGTTTCTCTTTAAAGCTAGCAAGACTCTAGCTATATTAGATCCAAGTCTGTTTGTAATTTACTTCATTCAGCTTGAACTTCTTGGCAGCAGCCTGTAAAGTTGCTTAACTTTTGGCATTTCTTAGATAAACTTCCCAAGCCATTAGGGAAGGGCCTTGTGACTTTGCCTTCTCTCTCACAACTTTTTCTGGCATGGTTTTTTCTTTTCTTTTTGTTGTTTTTGGCATGTGTTGATCTTTATCATAGAGGGCCGAACATTTTTTGTGTGCTGCTCTGATGGCTGGCTGTGGGGCTGCCTGTGGCTCTGTGGCTCTGTGGCTATGCGACTTGCTCATTAATTGTTTGTTGCTTTTGTTATTGCTGGTCGTTCGCGTCAAAAACACTTAACTTCATTAACACTTACATGCCAGATACCCAGATACGAGAGACGAGATACGAGATATCTGCCCAGCAACAACATTTTGTTTTTTTCGGTTTTCCTTTCCACGAGCCAGTCCAGAGTCTTAGGCCACACATAAACGCAATTATGAAGTTTTTATCTTTGGTTTATATCTTTTGCTGGCCTGGCCCTGGGTTGGCACATCATCTGTCTAATAAATAGTTGCTGCCTTGCCTCTCTATCTCTTCCGTGGTTAAAGTTTTCCAAGCTGTCCAACTGTCTCGCGTTTATTAGCTCTTTGCTCTGCCGTCACTTTGATGCACTTCTTCATTCAACTTTACTCACACCCCTTGGTTGTTACACCTTTGTTTTTTTTTCTAATTAAAGTTCGACCAGTTGATGGGCCTGGGATCTCAGGTTGCCAGATTCTCAGCCTTCTCAGCCTCTCTCTCTGTTCTTGGCCGCTTTGTTTTGCGTTTAATTATCGCCTTTGTGTTTCCTTCAGCATTCGTTTTTTTCTGCTTTTTGAGCAAATACCGCGCACGGCCTTTGCCGACGATCGTGGCGCCAAGATAAACCAAAAGAACATGTTTTGCTCTCAAGTGGCCGACCCGACACACAATGGGAATCAACTTGTTTTATTTTGTTGCTGCTCTTGTTGTTGTTGAGTCATCAAGAAAGCATTTTGGCGTCTGATATGAAACATGCCGCCTTGCAAATTAACTTTGGCCTAAGCCACTCCAAACAGCTACAGATACAGACACAGACACACACTCGTACACATGTACTTGTATGCGCATTGTAAAGGCACAAATTGAAAGGAGAATGGCCAGAATGGTCGGACAGCCGGGGGCCACAGCGCCCCGAGAGGCCCTGGGGAACATGCACGACTCAACGATGACCTACAAAAAAATAAAAATGATTTGCAATTGTAAAAGGAAACCAACTGACTTGGCTATTGTGCTCGATAAAATATATCAAAAATTGATTATTTTTCAACTTGAAAGAGTAGAAAAATATTACAAGTCAGTTTAAATGTATAAAAAAAACTTCGGCAAGCAAATGAAACACTAAAAACTCAAGAAAAGGCAACAGAAAATAGGAATAATCCATTGTCCATCAAGGCTGCATGCGACAGGGCCCGCAGACCCCAGTTACTGAAGCCCCAAAGCCTACGGGGGCCAAAATGAATTGAATTTGTACATTTGCGTAATGTGTGCTCAAGACATGGCCGGGCACAGGGCGGGGCAGTGCCAAGAAAATGGAAATGAAAATGATTAGCCCCATCAAGCCGCACGGACCACGCATCTCCTCAATCCCTATGGCTATGACGACCGCAATAGACACGCGGGGCAGCAGCATTGCCCAACCAAGAGATGAGATGAGATGAGATGAGAGACGAGATGAGAAGAGACCGAGGCCAAGCTCCAAGGGCTCTCACCTGGCCTGGAGAGTTCACAAAGGCCATGTCGAAATGTGGACGCAGCTTCATGAATTTTCTATGATAAATGGAACGTCACGGCTGGCGGCTTATCTATCAAAAGAAAAGCACAACAACGACAGCAACAGCAACAGCAACAACAACAACGAGCAACAAATTGAATATGCACAGCCTACGTGGCGAATGAGTAATGTTGGTTGCCTCGACTCTGAACGTGGTTTTTGATCTTGGTTTCAATTTTGGTCTCAATTAAAGTCGCTTCAGCGTAGATTGAGAGACGTGTTGGGACGTGTTGTGGGCCCTGTTGATTAACATATCTACGATGTTGGGGATGTTTTATCTCTGTATCTATTTATCTCTGCGTCTCCATTTATCTTTGTGTAATTTTTGGTGTATTATCAAATCCATATTGTAGCCCAATCCCTGCCTGATGCTGTAGATAACACAAAGTTGGTCTATCCAAAGATTTGCATAATTAATTAATGAACTTTTGTGTTGTGGCTTGGCCACTGGGTTTTATGGTGCAAAATCAAAAATGCGCATAAATTGTACACCAAAAAATGTTATAAATTGTGCGTAATAAAACACAAAAAACACCAAACATTTACAACACACAAATTTACAACAAAATCAAACGTGTAGAAAGCAGGTGGCACTGTTGAGTTGACAGCAAAGGGAAACTTCTTTCCTCTTCAAGGAAACCCACTAGCAAGTGGCAGACAGACAGCAGCCTACAATTCTAGATTGTGAAGTGTTAACTGGGTCAACACACGCCCCGCCACCCTTGGACACTCCTAGCGCACTGCCGCAGTGCAAATAATTACAGGGACTTGGCCCAGGTCTCGACAACCCGCTCATTTCCCTGGCACTTTGGCTAATTGTCTTCATTTGTCGCCATCTCAGCAGCAGGCAGCAGGCAGCAGGCAAAGGCGGCAACTCTTTCGGCGCAATCCGCTGGCGTTGGAGGGGACAAACAAAAACAGAAAACAGAAAGAAGAAAATTACACAAAATGGAAACTTGGGACTTGCTTTGCTTGCATAATGTTCATGCAATTAAAAGCCATGTCCTGGCACAGTGCCGGGCAAGGACGCAGCTCTCCAAACGATAAATGAAAAGCGAAATGCGAAAATGCGAAATGCGGAAAAAAATAAGAACACAGAAAGCTAAACCACAAATTTAGGTCAGCAGCAACTAAAGAACGGGGCAGAGGCGAGAACTGGAAATTCTCTTTAGTTTTTTAAGCGCGCTAATTAATTAAAATGAAATACAATGGCCGCGAATAGTGGTGCGGTGCTTCCCGCCCAAGGAACAAGAGATGTAATTTACTGTGAATTGGGGGGCTATGGGGTGAGGCTTTGGGTTTGCTGCTGGGATTTCTGTGTCAAGTGGTTGGGGGTTCGCTGCGTTCTTTGAAGTTTATAAAGTTATGAAAATGGTTGGTGATGGAGATGGATTAACATGTTTAAGGATAAATATGTGATGCGCTCCAAACTGTCCAACTTTTAGTTACTTTGTTCACCCACTTTGCTGTGGTTCACGCGTCGTATGAGTAATGAATGCGATCGTAGACACGGCAGACTGCTCATCTGTTGGCCCAGCCCAGCCATATAATACTGTAGCCATTTCAATTAAAAATGAAAGAAAACAAAAAAAAGGACAGAAAAGAAAAGAAAACTCTGACTGCCGCCGCAGCCGCCGACGACGTCATTAATTAGGAATGCTCTCCGAGCGTTCGCCTTTCAAGTGTCTCGAGGGGGCCAGACTGCAGCGGGGGGGCCCAGTGCCAGGGAAAGGCAAAGGCAAAGGCAAAGGCATTGGCCGCCTGGTCGCCATCGCTTTGTGTTGGCGTTGGGGCATAAACTTTTTTGTGCGACTGTTGTTGTTGGAATGCGCTTTGTGCAAATTGCAAATAAATTGTAAAAGCCGCCAACGAAAAGCAGCCACTCAAAGGCGCCAAAAGCCGACAAGGCAGGGGGACTATATAGCGCCAAAGGGGAGTGGGCATGGGGAATGGGGTATGAGGTGGCTCTGTTTTGATGCCGCCAATTTCATGCCACTTTGCATTTTAATTAAAAGTATCCTTTTAACCCTCCCCTCCATCTGTCTTCTTGCTTTGTCTTTGCAGTCCAGGAATGCACCACAGATTCCGAGGAGCTGATGTATCACCAGGTGCGTGCCTCCTCCTCGTGCAGCGCCCCGCCCGACCTGCTGCTGGTCAGTGAACGTGACAATAATATACAACTGCGATCGCCGGTGGTTAATATAATCACCACACCGCCGGGCAATGCCTCCGGCACGGCTGGCAACAAGCAGCTGCAGCAGCAGGGGCACCAGCATCACCAGGCGCTGCCCCATACCCATGCCAGCAGGCACCACCATCAGCATCCCATGCAGCTGCCGCAGGACATGAGCAGCAGTGGCAGCCACACAAAGCATTTGCGCATCAGCAGCAGCAGCGCCGGGGGCAAGCATGGCAAATATGCAAATGTGCAACAGCAGACGGTGCCGCCAGGCGTCGATGAGGATGTGGTCGATGCGGCAGCAGCGGCTCAGCCCTCAGCCCAACAGCAGCAGCAACATTCGCGGCACTTGCACCACCACAAGGAGGAACGCATCCGCTTGGAGGTGAGTCCATCAGTCCATCAGTCCATCAGCCCCATAACTTGATAAGCTTATTAGATATTTAATTGCCAGGGCAAAGTCAAGTATCCAAACCCATAAACATTTATTTTTATGGTCCCATTTTGATTTTCACTTCTCCACTCAATTAATGGAGGAATTTATGGATTTTTCTCATCGTTCTTTCATAACCCAAAAATATATTCATATAGTACTTTATCTTTATACACTAAAATCGCAAAAGATAATTGCTCTTTGGGTATTAAACATGCCAGTTTTAGAGGGAAATGGAAGCTACAGCTTCACTGAGAATAAAAAAAGCGTGAAGAAAATAAACAAATTTAAATTGTAATGAAATATTTGCCTTGCAAATAAAAAACATTGAAATGATACAGAATTCACTTTGATTTAAATGTAAACTTGCGTTGAAAAGTATTTTCGTTACGGATAAAATGAAAACGGATGAAATTTGAGGCAAATAAATTTAATTTAAATGCAAAAACATTAAATTAAAATGAAAAAATATTTAATTGAAATATTCTTTATTTCAAAGTGAATAATTAATATTAAAAATTAATATTTAATATTGATATGGATTTTAATGGCATAAATGTGTTCTCTGGCTATTTGAATATTAGGACGCAAGGAAGTGTATTCATTGTCCTGCTTTGAAATAAGCTCTTTACTTCCAAAAATCGTCTGCCTATAAATACAACAGAATGATATGGATATGATGTTTGGTTTTCCATTTGTTAGCCTCTGACCCCGTGCCCCCTTCGGCTAGGTGTTGGCTGACTCGTTGTTTTGGTCAAGTTTAATCCACTCGCATGCTGTTATGCCCCCCACGCCCTCTCTCGCCACTATTGGCCATAACTCATGGCCCACTGGGCCACAACGCACATTGCCCACATAAACTCAACAATTCAATGTGCTTTTAATTAAAATTTCAATGGATGGCTGCTACAGCTTCATTTTGTTGTTCCACCCCGCCAAATATCAGTGGAGGAGAGCAGGAGGGAAAAAAAGTATTTCATTAACACAAGGGCGCCGGCAATTTTCCATTACCACCCACTGAGGATGAACATTCTCCTGCTCCTCCTACGGAGAGACTCTTCTACTCTTTTTCTCTTGTTATTCTGTGCCAAAAAAATATCAAAACATTAAAATTCAATAAAAACCATTAAAAGCAAAGCTACAAAACACGAAAAGCACTCAGAGGCAATTAAAAATCTACTACAAGCCGACAGAGAGAGAGAGTAGCAGCCAGCAGCCAACAAGAGCCAAAAGGAAATTATATTTATTTATACGACGAAACGAAACGAGATGAGAGTAGCAGGCAGAAAGCAGGGAGGAGCAGCAGGAGCAGTGGAAACTGTTGGATGCTGCTGTGTTTTGGGTTAGCACTTTATCAATGGTAATGGGTCCCCCCGCCACCAACCTAACCCAACCCCACCCATCAGCTGCTGCCAGTGCCTGTGCCAGTGCCTGTGTTGGCAAGCAAATTAAATATTTAGTCAAATTATGGCCACAATTTTCGACTGGTTTCGGTGGTCTTCTGTGTTGCTGCTAATTGTTGTTTTTTATGTGGCACATGGCTGCTGCTGCTGCTGCTGCTGCTGCGGTTGTGGCATACATTTCGCTTCTTGCTACACAACAAGTTGCAACTACACAAAGAAAAACAGACAAAACAGAGCAGAACCCATGTAGTGTACCTTAAATTGGATGAGGCAGGAGTTGTAATGTTGCAAAGTTTATTAGCAAAATGCAAAACAAATTTTGCAAAAAAACTGTGTTGGCATCAAACAGCATATTTTTTATTGTATTTCGGGTGCGAGAGTGTAGAGAAAATATATTTAAAATATAATTTAAATAAAGAGCCCCTTGGTTACTCATAGATTTCTGTTATAAGTCAAGCTGCCCTCCAATCAATACCAATACTCATACAAATCCAACTTTTATTTTCTCGTTTTTTGTTGCCGTCAAAACAGGAATTCACCTGCGACGTATCCGTTGAGGGCGGCAAGTCCTCGCAGCCGTTGCAATTCTCGTTCACGTTCTACGATCTGGACGGGCATCATGGCAAGATAACAAAGGATGACATTGTGGGCATTGTGTATACCATATACGAGTCCATTGGCAAGTCCGTGGTGGTGCCCCACTGTGGCAGCAAGACAATCAATGTGCGCCTCACCGTCAGTCCCGAGGGTAAATCGAAATCCGCACAGCCCCTGCCTGCGGCAGCGTTCGGCGGCGGCAACAACAACAACAATAGCAGCAGCAACAACAACAAACTGAAGAAGTTGCCCATGGGACTGGCAGCTGCGATGGCGAAACAAGTGAACGGCGGCAGCGGCGGAGGAGCGCTAACGACATCCGCCGGCACACGCCGTCAGCATCGGTATCGACCGCGCAAACTGATTAAGTCCGATGACGAGGACGATGACAGCAACAGTGACAAGGAGAAGGATGCACTGGCTGCATCAGCAGACCGTGCCGACCAGCAGCCAAGTGGGAGTGGCGGCACCAAGGGCGCTGGAGGCAGCAAGAGCCATCACCATCAACATCATCATGGCAGATACCAACAGAAGAGCAGCTCGAAAGTGGAACAGTGCTGTGTCGGGGCTGCCACGGAGCTCCAGCAAACGTCGGACAACACCTACGAGAACATGTTGAATCTCAAACAGGAGCAGCAGCCACAGCAGCCGACTGGCAACAGCAACGATGTGGCCGATTGTCCTTCGCATCGCCAGTTGCATCATCAGCGGCAGCAGGACATCTACATGAAGCAGGCCACACAGCGCGTGAAGATGTTGCGGCGAGCGCGCAAACAAAAGGTAGGCACAAGGTAACAAAGACAAAACAAATTATGACAAAAACAAAAACACACACACACACGGAATGTGGCTAGGAAATGGTTAACACCATTTTCCTGGCCACAACGACCCTTCCTACTCCCCTGTAAGTCCCCGCCAAAAGTCGCCTTTTGTTTTTGTTATTTTGCTTTGTTTTGCATCATTTTTGTTGTTGCTTGATTTTTCGCAATTATAATTTAATTTTGTTTGCTTTTTTTTTCTTTTTGTTAAACCATCAACCAATCAACCAATCAACCACAACTTGAACCACAAAACAGTACCAGGATCACTGCATGGAGACGCGACAGCGCAGCCTCTCGGTGGGCAATGATTGGCAGCATCGCCACTTGCCACAGTCGCAGCAGCCACAAGCGGCAAATAAGAGCGCCTCGGTGTCGCCACCACCGGCCAGTGGGGGTGAGCTAATGCTGGATGGGGTGCAGCTGCGTCAGCCACGTCATCATCAATCCCAAACCCAATCCCATCATCAGCAACAGCAGCAGCGCAAGTCCGCCGAGTGCTGGAAATCGGCACTGAACCGCAACGATTTGATTAGCATAATCCGGGAGAGCATGGAGAAGAATCGTCTGTGTTTTCAGTTGAATGGGTAAGCCAAATACACAGCCCCGAATACCATTCGATTATCCTGAATCAGAACTCATTTTCTTTTCTTTTGTTTGGCGACCCAAATTCCCCATACGATTCCCTAATTGAAACACTAAACCAGCCATAAATCCCAGACAAATAAGAACCCTTGCCCAATGCAATCAGCCACTAATTGATGTTCATATTTGTCTCCTCTTGTTTCCTGTTTTTCCATAGAAAACCCCAAGCCAATGTGAGTCCCATACGGCAACCGGCAGCACAACAACAACAACAACAGCAACGCCAACGCTCCAGTACGGGATCGAAAATTCCAACACTAATTGCCAACCACAGTCCTGCCGCCCAGTCTCCGGTCAGCTGCAGTCCCACTTGCAGCCATCCGGCAGCAGCCACCTGCAACATTCCGGCGGCGTCAGCAGCACAGGCACAGGCTCCCATCGAACAGGGGGGAGCAGGTCATCATCACGACCACCCCCAACCGCACGTACCCATCTACCATCAACAGTTGGCCATTAATCCGGCCGTGCTGGCAGCCCAGCACAGTCACAACAGTGCCCACAACAAGCTAAATCTCTGTGGCTATGATTCGTTCCTCCATGCCACAATCTGTGGCGGCGGCTCGGCCGCCCACTCGCCACCACCGACAACGACGACGCCCAGCAATGTGGCCACAGTGCAGCCCATACCCAAGAAGAGTCACAATCAAAAGAGTCTGCTGCAAGGCTACCAGCGACTGGAGCAGCAGCAGCAACAGCAACAGCAACAGCAGCGGTCCAGCAAGGACTACAAAAACTACGGCAATCTCATCTATGCCAAGCTGAGCGAACAGCTGCAGCAGAAGGAGAGGGAGCAGCGCAGGCATCGCCACAAGCAGCAGCATCAGCTGCAGCAGATCCAACAGCAGCAGCAGCCACTGAAACCCAAGGAGGAATCTCTACCGGAGCAGCAGCGGGAGCAACAGCAGCAGCGTCCACCCACCTCCAGCTCTAGTTCGACGGGCTCGAAGATCTTCGGCGATGCCTTGGAGTGTGCCCATCTGCTGGCCAGCGAGGAGGAGGATCTGCCGGCCAGCCCACCGCTGACCAGCACACCCAGCAAGGTCGTCAGCACCGACACCCTCATCGATCTGAATGACGATGTGGGCGAGGCCGTGGCCGAGGCCGTCACCGAGGGTGGCAAGGCCCTGGAGGCAGACGAGGATGATTCGCACCAAGAGGTGGAGCTGGACACCAGTGCCTCCAGCTCGATGATTCATCGCTATGTGCATGAGCACATTCACCATCACTACCATCACTTCAAGGAGCAGCAGGATGTGTGAAGGAAAACTACCCCCTAAAACGCACAGCTAGAACGAATGAAACTATAAACTATTTGCATGTTGCTTATGTTTTTCGGTCCAAATGGACTAATAAGTAGCGCCAATTGTAATTTAAAGTTAGCATTTATCAGCCCAAGAAAATATTCGAATCAACAGTCTATATGGGTATCGTGTATCGTACGTAGCCTTCCTAAAGCTTATGCAAAAAACCAAAATTCAAATGCGCCTTTTTGCCTTGGCAACATCCGAATCACCGCTTTTTGCTATGCTAATCGATCTAGCAACATGCTGCAGCAACACACATATCACGTATCGAAGCGCGCAGGCAGCATGTTGCGCCCAAACATTTTGTGTTGCTGACAAAAAAAACTAAAACTAAAACTACAAAAAAAGTACAGAAATGTGTGGAAAATGACTCTATTGTTTAGTGAAAAATATTAAATTAATTGAAATTGTTGTCTATAATATGAAATTTTATGCAACGCTTTTTAGGTGTATAGAAAGGAGCAGGCGAGGAGGACTCCTTATGCGAGTTTTAAGTTATCTACCGAGATATCGTGTATATTTATGTTTTTTCGAAGCCAATTTATTTTAAACACTACTAGACTTAGTTTCTAACACTAACCGCCAACAAGACAAGCAACAATGCAACTAAACAAAAACAAAAAAACAAAACAATTTTAGTTCAATTGTTATTTTTGTAATTTGTTTATTCTACCCATCATCAATCAACCAATCAAATAATCAATCCAATTCAATTCAATCACATCAAATGAAATGAAAGAAGCACAAAAACAAAATGCATTTAACTCTTATTTAAATAAAAAAGACTGATTTCCAATTAAACATTAAACATAATGAGAAGATACTAAATAAATTATTGAATTGCTAAAATGGAATTATTAATTTAAAGATAGTTGTTTCTCCTGGAACTATGCGTACGGGATTTCTGGGATAATGATGGGGTGTATGTATGTATGCAGTGTAGGATTTATGTATGCAGTGTTTAAGCAACCAACACGAAAAGAACTCCAGTGTAGCGGGGGGGCTGGGGAGGAGGGAGCAGCAATCACCAACCAAAGAGCACATCCAATGCCTTGTTCACCAGTCCGGTGCTCTTGGTGGGCATATCCGTGGTTGGCACCACTTTGGCATCGTTTTGTGCCATTTTGTAGAATTGCTGCACAAATGGACGGATTTTTGGAGTGTCTTGACTCTGCAGCAGACTCTGTTCGCCGAAGGACAGCGACGTCGCTGAGGTCTCGTTGCAGTTGTTCTCCTTGTCGACGATGGATTTGTCGGTGCAGCGTGTGACGCCCACCATGACATTGCCGCCAATGATCTTTTGATTGAAGTTCAGTGCCTTGTCGCTCTCGATGCGAGAGGAGAAGCGCACGTGCATCCAGTTGCCATTCTTTGGGGCATGCGACACTTGCACTATGGTGCCGCAGAGCGTGAAGTGCTGCAGCACCATGGAGCTGCTGCCAGGCACATAGCCGAAAATGGTTACCCAAAAGTCACCGAGCCGTGGGCGTGGCGTATTGGGCGCATACGGGTCCTGATGGCTCTGGTTGAGACTGAGATTCAGATTCTGTGACTGATTCAGCATGCTCAGATGATGGCGCTGCGGTGTGTTGTACTGCTGCTCACGCAGCGACTCGAATAGCCCCTGGGTGGGTGGCCCTGTCTGGTGGTTGTGGCTGCTGACACCCGACAGCGACACATTGGCAGGGCTGTGGCCATGGCCCCCGGACCCATGCGGACCGCCGCCAGGGCCGAAGAACGTGTTGATCCCGGAGCGGTTAAAGTCGTGAGCGGATGAGCCGGTGGGTGATGTGGCAAAACTAACGTTGTAGCGTCCCGGCTTCGGGGAGAGCGTGTTCTTGTGCGGCGTCATGGCCTGAGGATCGCCCATTAGGAACGGGGGCAGGTACTGGCACTGGCTGCTGTTGGGGCTGTTCACGGGACTACCCAGAGTCATGGGTTCCATTTTGCGGCTTGGCGAAATAACACAAAAAAACAAACACAAAAGAATTAACAAAGTTGGCAAATGTTTGGTGAATTTTCAAATGTATCGATAGGCAGAAGCCTGACCACTAACCAAATAGTATAGTATATACTATATATATTTATTTAGTCAGACCACTAACCAAATAGTATAATATACACTATATATATTTATTTAGTATATACTATACTATTTGGTTATATTTATTTAGTATATACTATACTATTTGGTTAGTGGTCTGACCCAATTTTATTTGCCAACTGAAAGATAAAGCTGCCAGCTAATTTCGGTTTTAATTGTATTAACAAAACCCTTACAAGAGATGTACAAAAATTAGCTTAAAAAAAACTCACAAAAAACTTAAACAAACATCGAAACAAAGTCTTACTGCTAGGAACTCTGATTGCCCAGGAGCGCCATACCCTCAAAAGCTAATTGATACGCAGAGAAAGAACATCTGCTAGCCAAACCAAAACATTAATAATGCTGCTGCCCGACGGAACAAATTGGACATTGTCTTGGCTCTGAAGCAAACGACACAGAGATGGGATCTAAATTTAAATCGTCGTGCGCCATGTGACAAGAGAGATTCGGAGATCGGAGAGAGAGATCGGAGACCGGAGAGAAGATCTCTCGAGCGTCCCATTGGATTGTATTTATTTTGGCATCGCGGAGACACAAAAGAAAATATATTTTCTCGCAGACGGGCAGATAGAACGCAAGTAGAGTCCGAAAACAGAACACTAGAAAATGTGGCAATTTCAGTGAATTTTCAAACGTTGCTCATTACGCAAACAGACGGCGATCAGGGGAAGATTTTCCAAAGATTAGTGAAGGAAAACAATCAATTAAATGTCCTCATCGCTGACATCCTGTGCGTTGTGCCAGGCGAGAGCCTCGCAGCTGTGTGCCGCCTGCCGGAGCGTGGTGTACTGCAGTCGGGAGCACCAGAAGGAACACTGGAAGCAGGGCCACAAGCGCGAGTGCAAGTGCTACGAGGTGGCCACCAATGAGACACTGGGACGGCATCTGTGCGCCACAAGAGATGTCAGGATTGGCGAGGAGATCCTCAAGGAGGCTCCCCTCCTACTAGGCCCCAAGGTAGCCTCGGCGCCCATCTGTCTGGGCTGTCATCGGAATCTGCTGCCGCCGGCAAAGCCGAGCAGCATCTACTACAAATGTAGCTCCTGCAGCTGGCCGCTGTGCGGCAAGGAGTGCGAAGAGTCGCCCCACCATCGAGCCGAGTGCCAGCTCATGTCCGGCAGCCACTTTCAGTCGAAGATCAGCTACACGCCCGGCGAGGAGGAGCGCAAGGAGTCCGCCTACTGTGTGATTATGTTGCTGCGCTGCATGCAGCTGAAGAGCAGCGATCCCGAAGGCTTTGCCCGCCTCTCCGCCCTGGAGGATCATCTGCAGGAGCGCCTGGAGACGCCGCTGTACCAAGTGCTGCGTGCCAATCTCATAACGTTCATCAAAACCATTTTGGGCATGCGTGACTGGTCGGAGATGGACATTCTGCGCATTGCCGCCATCCTGGACACCAACACCTTCGAGCTGCGACAGCCTCGCGAGCGCCGCAAGGTGAGAGCTCTCTATCCAGGAGCGGCCATGATCTCCCACGACTGTGCACCCAACATGAGACATCGCTTCGACAATGACATGAACATTCGATTCCTGGCCAAGCGGCCCATTGCCAAGGGCGAGATCCTGAGCATTTCCTACACTCAGCCGCTGAGGAGCACCATTCAGCGGCGACTCCATCTGCGGCAGGCCAAGTGCTTCGATTGTGCGTGTGCCAGGTGCCAGGATCCCACAGAGTTGGGCAGCTTTGCGGGTGCCCAAACCTGCGTCAAGTGCAAAGCGGGAAAGGTGAGTGGGTGGAAAGAAGGCGAAGATCTGTCTTAACGAATTTATTTCACACAGATCATCTCTGTGAAGCCGCTCCAGAACTCTGCCAACTGGAAGTGCCAACTGTGCCCCGTGAAGCGTTCCGCCAAGGAAGTGCTGCTCTCGGATGCCAAGCTGCAGCAGGAGATTGAGGCGCTGGACAAGAACAGCCCCACGGATTTTGAGGATTTCATCTACCGCCATCGGGTGGAGCTCCATGACACCAACACCCACGTCCTGCAGGCCAAATATGCGCTCACGCAGCTGTATGGAAATGCGCCAGGATTCGCCATGGAGGGTAAGCAGAGGGGGAGGGAATTTGTATACAGTTGTAACCCCACAGTGTGCCCCCACAGAACTCAGCGAGGAGTCGCTAAAGCGCAAGGTTGAGCTCTGCGAGGAGCTCCTCAAACTGGCCAACATTTTCGATGGCGGCTGGAGCATCTTTCGCGGTAATTTGCTGATAGACCTGGAGGAGGCTCTCGTAGCACAGGCACTGCGCTCTAAGGAGCCACTGGAATGCGAAGAGAAACTCAAACGGGCATCGGAGCTGCTGGCGGAGATTGGAAATATTATGCAACATGAACCGGAAATGCAGCAACTGCTAGCGGAGCGTCAGGAAATACTGGACAACGCTCTAGAGCGACTTGAAGGGGTCAAAGAAATCGAATAGCTTTGAGTAAAATGTGCCCAATAAACTTTCTACAATTTTTTCTATGGAAGAAAAGTTTTTTTATCAAAATGTTTGAATTTGAAAACTTGCGCCCAGTTTCATAGCAGCGAGTTTTTTATTGCTACCAAACGGCATGCTCAGAGATTCGTTGTAGCAAATATCGATACTTTTGTGCGATAGGCGCATGGTTCTAATGTGTTCCCTCGTCTAGGTCACACACCTTGCGTATTTTGAAATAATTTGTAGGATATTTCTAGCATTTTAATGTATTTATGGACTCACCTTTCTGTATGTAGAAATCGTGTAGAAACAAGGTTGATATTTACAGCAATTGGCAGTAGATATCGTGTAGTTAGCATGTAAGGAAATTAAATTTAATAAAAATTAATATAAAATTGATTTATAAATGGCTTAAAATTAGATTCTCTTTTCTTTTTTTTTATTTAATCGCTGTAGCGAAATTGGTTGGTAGCAGACGATGAGTCCGCATCGACCAGGTACTTCAGTTTATGTTAAATATTATAAAAAAAGTCACTGAAAATTTTGAACTCAAAAAAGAGTTGTTTGCCGAACGTAATTAAACCTTTTATGTGTGTTGAAAATTATATTCTCAGAGTCAATGTTAATTCCGACTGCCAACAAAAACTATCGATTAATCTACTCTACACATTCAATATCGATTTCACTCACGTGTTGCACGTGTGTTTTGTTTATGTTTTAATTTTGCATTAAAAAACGTGCAGATTGCTCTAAAATGGAGAGTGTAATTAAGGAAACGCCTGCTGAAGTTTCACCAAGTGATGCACAACCCATGGAGACACCAGTGGAGCCATCAGTTGCTGAAATGGCAACAACCGACGATGTGGCAGCGTTCGCTGACGTGCCGGAGGAAAAAGCCGGCGAGGAATACGCCTATTTGGAGCGAAATGAGTTCACGTCGGAAATATACAAAATAGAAGTGAAGAATATGGGCTACTTTGGCATTGGTGTAAGTTAAAATACACATCCGTAGGAAATAAACTAAAACTCTACTCCCTTTTAGGAGTTTAAAAAGCTGCTGAAGAACACCTTGAAGCTGGACATGACAAAAATCAAGTCACCCACGAGGAAAGAGTTTGCATTTGTGTGCTTTCGCACGCAAGAGGATCAGCAGCGAGCCTTGGAGACTCTCAATGGTTACAAGTGGAAGGGAAGGGTCTTAAAAGCGCTAGCAGCCAAAGCATCCGCCGATCCGCTGCAGAAGAAACGAGCGGCTGAAGGTGCCAGCGATTCCAAGCCCAAACGTCAACGCACAGCTGTGGAGGCTACCTGCCCGCTGGCGGGCATCAGCTACGATGAGCAGTTGCAGCAGAAATCGGAGGAAATGTCCACGCTGCTGCGAAAATACACCCAAGAACTGAGGAAGATTAATCCTCAGGCCAAGCCGCATTTGGATAACTTTAAATTTAACAACGTGCTGCCCTCGCCCACGGTGAATGGCTACAGGAACAAGAACGAGTTCACGGTGGGAAAAAACTCCGAGGGCGAAGTGGTGGTGGGATTCCGCTTGGGCTGCTACAGCGATGGCTCTGTGGAGGTGGCGGAGGTGCAGGATCTGCCACACCTACCCGACCAGGCCAAGTGGGCGGCGCAGAGTTTCCAAAAGCTTGTGAGGCAATCCAAATTTCTGCCCTTCAATCCCGATGGCAACGTGGGACACTTTCGGCAGTTGATGGTGCGCTGTTCGAGTGCCACGGGAGAGCTGATGCTGGTGGCCGGCATCTACTCCTCGAATCTGAGTGAAGAAGAACAGCGGGAGCTGAAGCAGGAGCTGAAAAGCTTCTATGAGCAAGTGGAGCCGGATGCAAGCTTCAAGTGCACTTCCCTCTACTATCAAGATGTCAAGCATCGTGAGGCTGGGCAGATGGTTAACCCGGTCGACCACTTACTGGGCACCACACACATCACAGATACCATTCAGGGTCTCCAGTTTCGCATCAGTCCGTTGGCCTTCTTTCAAATCAACACCGAAGGTGCCAACGTCCTTTACCAACAGGCTATTGATCTGGCTGCTCCCACCAAGGACACAACCATGCTGGACATTTGCTGCGGCACCGGCACCATTGCCCTGGCCTTTGCCAAGCACTGCAAGAGAGTTTTGGGAGTGGAAATCGTACCCGATGCCATCAAGGATGCGGAGTTCAATGCCGAAGCAAATGGAATTGACAACTGCAAGTTCTTTACAGGCAATGCGGATGACTTTATCAAGAGCATGGTGCGGGAGGCCATGTATGACGAGCAACCAGGCAAGCCAGTGGATTTGATAGCCGTGGTGGATCCACCAAGAGCGGGATTGCGTAAGCTCCAAGTAGACATCAATCATTTGGGTATTATTATAGCTCTTTTTTCTCTGCCATTCATTTGTAGATAATCGTTCGATTGCTGCCATACGTTCGGCGAGTGCCATCAATCGTCTGGTGTATGTCTCCTGCAATCCAAACAGCGCCAAGCGCAACTTTCTCGAGCTGGCCAGACCCGAGTCCAAGCAGTACAAGGGTGAACCCTTCTATCCGAAATCAGCAGTGGCCGTCGACATGTTCCCCCACACAGCGCACACGGAGCTGGTCATTCTGTTTGAGCGTGAGCCCAAGACAAAGACGGATGAAAATGCACCGCCAGCAGTGGCTGTGGAGGAAGCAGACGCAGAATCATTGAAAACTGAAACCGCAACTGAAGTAAACATCGGAGACGCGGAGACACTATCAACAGCGTGACGTGGGGCGGCACTCAACGGTACAGTTGGTTCAAATGTAATTTTCTTATAATCTCTTAATCTTGCAGGTCACTCTCGCGATTCGCGCCAGCCAAAACGATGCCTCATTCTCGCTTATCTGCAGCGGGATGTTGTCATCCATCCATCCATCATTGTCTCTTTGTGCTGCTCGCTGCTCTGAGCAGCGGCGCTGTGGCTGTGGCGGTGGCTGCTGCTTCTACTTTTATTGTTTTAAATTGATTTAATTGTATTTACGCTGTTCGGACGTCTGGTACAACGAGGGGAAAACGGCAAAATCGACACAAGCGACTTCCTCTATTTAGTACTAGTTACTCTCTAAGTTGGAGCAACGTCATTATCATCAACCTCAACATCGCCAGTACTGGTGTGAACGTTCGTGTGATAAGAATTGCAAAACGCTGCAAAGGTGCTGCTGCTGCAATCTTTTGGGCATTGCAAAAGGTGTCTCAACGAAGTCTGGTATTCATAATATCAGTGACAAGTGCAACGACCGCCCATACAAGGGCCAAGGATCACATGTCTGACCAGGTATGAGAAGTTCTATCTTAGATTTCCTAATGGAGTATAAGCAAGTGTCGTTTTTTTTCTATGGGGTAATAAATTTCCTACAATATAATTGCCAGTGCATTTCTCTCGGTAATTAGTGTTTCTAGATGATCATCGAACACAGTTTTGATTGCACAATGAAAACTGTTTGCATTCGTTCCCTTCTTTCCTTACGTTTTGCTTATCTAAACTAAACATTTGTACATTTTGCTTTGCTTTTGCTTTGCTGTTGTTTGTTACAAGGTCCAAACCGAGAAGCACTCGGGAGGGAGCTGTAAACAAGCCCCAGCTGTAGCTATAAACACAAAATATAACTAATATAAAGTCAAAACACGATAATATTATTGTTTTTGGCGAACAAGAACACAGAGAGGGGAGCAACGTGACTGATATCATGTTGGGTAACAACATAGGAAAACAAACGCAGTTCGGGATCGGAACGGATTTGGCAGTGAGATTCATCAGAATAGTTTCCGAGAAGGGGCGCGGCACACCTACACAAAGACACTTATTATTTGTGTTTATATCTAATGTGAGGAAACAAGAAAAAAGCTTTCACGAGCAACGACTGCGGGGACCGTTAAATATTTAAACCTGCCAACGCCATCGGAAATTGTACTTTGGACCCAATGAGGCGTTTTGTGCCTCTATAGCAAAATGATTATAGAAACGAACATAAAGAAAAATAACACCTTAATTATTATAAATCAAAGCGTAATGCGACAAAGAGAGCGGGAGAGGGAGAGGGAGAGCGTGATCGTGAGAGATCGGGCACACAAAGACATCTGAAAAGGGAGCAAAACTGAGGCCGGCCCGCCCGGGAACAAGGGCACGAGCAGGGGCAGGCACTTCACATTTATTTATAATATCCGGCTGACCAGACAAGAAACATCATGGGGCAGGGGTGTTGTAAGGCACCTAGCAACATGAAATCAAGTGAAATTCTGCGATTAGGATCGACAGATATGTACAAATGTACGATACGACGCATTGTCGAGACCTTGACCGGACAAAGCTTTACTTTCGAAGCGAATGTACGGCCAAAAGCTTCACCATATCTTCCATATAATGCTGGGAATTTATATTGCCTCATAGTTCTTGTCTTATCAGCAGCGTGGAGTGGGATGTAAACAAACCAAAACTGAAGGAAAACAACAATATCGACTATCAACCGACGCGAACCGGTTTCGGGGAGAGCCAATCCATGCGATGCCATGCCGTGCCCCAAGCGAGAGAGAGCTTTTGTCCGGATGGATACCCATTCAGCATCAGTGAACGACGACACACAGAGAGACTACGAGACTACGAGACTACTACTACTACGAGGAAGGCCCGGCACGGCACCGACGCCCCAGAAAAGCACACAAAAAAACACACATTTCACGTGCCGGGCCTGACAGCTCTGCACACGACCAACACGTTTTCGCTTTGGAGCAAATAAGCCTCGTGGCATGGGGTGTCCACACCCCTGCCTGGTTGTGCTGCTGCTGGTCCCCACTGTATTTCTCGTGTCGTCATCTCCAATCTGTGCTGTGCTGTGCGCTCGAAGCTGTGAGCTTTGGCCGTTGTAAATCAACATCCTATGGGTAGGAGTTGTATAGTTAGCTACCCTAATATAGAGTAGGGGTATATGGGTTTAAGATAATCTTTAGGCGGAGCGGGAAATGTTCAACTGTCTGAATTAAATTTCGTCAAAGATTATTGAGATATTTTCATAGAATGAGTAGCTTATCATCCTTAAGCACCTCAATCAATAAAGTATGGTTTACATTGGTACTTAAACAGCACAAAAAAGTCATTAAAGGGCAGCGATTATATATAATGGAGTAAGATTAATCCCTCCAACTGCATTATTAGCGAAATTATAGTATGCATTTCCCTGCTTAAACCCAATTTGCTTTTATTAAAAGGTATATGATCAGCCTGTAATCTCTCTCAGCAAATTTAGCAATCTACCTTTCCCATATTATTTTGATTCAATTTCTTGACGATTGAGGGCATTACTAATTCGATTAATCTTCATGGGATTGTTTTAGTTGTTGTTGTTTTTGTTTTGTATTTTATTATCGTGTGTTGTTTTCTGTTTCTGAGGCCAACAACATTTTGAAAAAAAGCACCAAGCAAACCACCGCAACTGTACCTAAATCGGCAACGTCGCCGTTTCTTTCTGTGCCGTTCCGTGCCTGTGTGCCTCTGGCTCTGCCGCTCGCACACACAAAGAAAACGGGCAAAAGAGGCAGAAAAGGCAAAGCAGAAAGCAAAAAGCTCTCCAACTCATTTTCGATAAAAAGAAATCGTTTAAATTGCGCGCACACCAGAAGAGCCTGAAACAGTTGCGACTGCAACGTCGGAGCAGTGACGACGGACCGTCCTCAGCGTCCCCCAAAACCAACAAACAACAAAATAACAAACCACTCAACCAAAAACCAAAACCAACACCAAAACAACAAGAAACATAAATAAAAGCGACAAAGAAGCAACCATAAAAGAGCCAAAACTAAAACAAGTACAAAATGCTGGCCCACTAGCAACAACAACAAAACAAAAAGGGAAACCAATTGCGCATTCGGCGTATATAGTAGTGCAAAAATCTAATTAAATCAACTGTGATATAAGTTTTTTTTTTCCGTTTGGTTCTCCAGACCAACCAAAGCAACCTAAACTTAAAGTTTAAAGTCACACACGAAACAAAACCCCAGCAAAGATGTCTGTTCCCATGATATTGACCCCGATGGAAGCCCAAGGCACGGACGAGCACATGCAAAATGTAATTAACAAAAATCTATATGAAACATTTGTACTTTTGGGGCATTGTAATAGGGTTTCGGTATAGGGCATAGTGTGTCTGCCATGTGGCTAGTGTCTAGTATAATTGCAAATGTTTGAGCTTTGACTTTTTGGGCTGTTTGTGAAGGTCGCTGCTGTTGACATCAGACATTTGCATGCCTCCAGTAGTATATAATAAAAATCAATATCTAAAAAGGGGAGGTAGAGATAGAGAACAAGAGAGCCAAAGACAGATGGAGGGAGTAGGGTTAATGCACTAAATTGCCACCAAGGGAAATACTAGATAAGTTTATATAAATTAGAACCCTATGTTTATAGTATAATTCGTAGAATTCTGACTAGTATGTTTATGTCATGATGTCATTTCATTGGGAACGGAGACTCGACTCTTAACTCCAACCTCCAATTTCAAGTAGTTTGCCAGTAAACCAAACAACCCCTCAGACAGGCTGCGACTCAACTCTGTTTATTTAATGCAAAAAGCTCTTCAGAATGAGTGCCACATGTGGCAAAGGTTTCACGTGATTCACTTTCTTGTGAAGTTTGAGGGGAGGTTTCAGTATTGGAAGAGAGAGAGGAGTCCTGTTTCCGACTACTAGCGACCCCACAAGCTCAAGTGCCTGTTTTGCGATGATTGCGATTAGATTTCAGGCCATCTTATGGCTGTTATATAGCTATTGTGTTGATATATGATCTCTCACTATACAGCTCGAGTCTGATAAGAAATCAAGCTGAAACTGTAGCTGGCCAAAACAGATGGCAGCAGAGCTTTTGTTAGCTAAAAATAAGACAGAGAAGTAAGAAGTAGTACAAAATTGCCCCCAAGAAGCAGAAACGAAGCTTTTCGACTCTAAAATTTCCCATAACAAAAAACAGATGTGCAAAAATACAGAGAGTGTGAGAGGAGAGAGAAGAGAGAGCGCGTGCGTTAAAGCTAACTGTTCAACACGTGAACGACGCACACAAAAGCTCAAATTGGACACGGAAACTAGAATTTAAAGTTAAGAGAGAAAAATCGAAAGTTGAAACAAACAACAAAACGAATTTAGTTTAATATTAAAAACAGCTTTTTGGTTTTGTTTTAGGAATATTTGTTGGTTATTTCTGAGGCACCGAACCGATTGATTTACAAGGCTATGCTAATTGTGCCAAGAACAGGAAAAACGCGCGCAAAACGCTCACAAAACGCGCTAACGTGTGGTTGACGCAAAACAGCCAAAAATACATAAATACGGAAAAACTATAAAATATAAGTACATAGAAACTAGAAAACTATGTATACGAAATGCGAATTTTGCACCGCATACATGTCTCATTAGCTCACGCGACTTTTGCCGCCCCTCCTTAGATTTTTCTGGTTATCTTTTGAAATGTTGCCAAGGTGGGAGCCAGAACCGATCTGTACATTCGGCCCGTTAGCTGGTGGGTGGTGGCAGCCTCTTTAGTGTATTTTACGAGTATATAGTGAGAATACAGTTCAAGGGGCTGCCTGTTCAACACGTGATAGTTGGAATAATTTATGGTTTGTTCAGCCCACTTACATAAACTTTGGCTATGGCGATTGTATTTATCGCCCAGCGAGTGTCGGCTAATCATAGGCAGTTGCATCACCCTCAATACACTGCCATGGCAGCAGCAGCGACACCACCACCGTCAACCACTCGTAAAGCAACAAAAAATGCATTTGATTCCTTGCGGTTATCACGGCCTGCGCTCAAAGGTAAAAAGCTTGCGCATCGAGCGATTTTAAACGCGTGCTTTTAAATGCAAAACAAAACGTTGAACGTTCCAAAAGAGTGTGTGCAAATATGTGTGGAATTGTGTTAGTTGAAACAATTATAACAAAGGGAAACCCTATCAAACCCCACCAAAAAAATCCCCGTCGTAATTTACATATTTATCAGACAAAAAACCCTCCATTGACTTTGATTTATTTACCGCATTTTAGCTACTATTCTTAGTAGGAAATAAATCACAAATCAATCATCTTTCTAGGGGTTATCTGTTTCCCATCTAAGTGCTTGATATGTGCCTACGTTTAGTGCAGCTCTTACGCAAATACTAGCACGTAGTTTAGACTCGGGCTTAGGGCATACTAAATATATTCTAAAATATATTTAACGAGCAATTAAACTGATTATTCCGCACAAGTTACTTTTTGTTTTTTTTTTATGTATTAGATTATAATAATCTGTGAGCCTGGTGAAATCTAGAGTCGAGCCCGCTTCAGTGCTCGGAGAAGAACACGTGATCTCGTTACAAACTGCACGGAGGCGACTAAAAACGCGTGCTTATCGCGCGAACCTGTTTTCGTTTCTAAATTCCAGCCAGAGGGGGGGCGGGCCGGGCGGAGTGTGGGGCGGCGTTCCGCTCAGTGAAACTTTATCAGGGCGAAACGAAATCCGCAAGGGGTCAACGTTTAATCTGAGCTTCGCAGCCGTGTGTTGTGGCGTTTATTAGGCGACAGCGCTGGCAGCGTTTCCCTCAGTCGTAGTCTAGTCTCCATTGCTGCTGGCGATGGCCCTGTGGCACATCAAAGTACTAATCCTGGCCTATGCCTCCATCTACTTGCAGTGTGCCGCATATGTGGAGGCAGCCACCGTGCCACCGGGCACCCTAATCAAATATGGCACAGCCAATGAGCTGGAGACGGCCACCGGTGCGACGGGTGCCACCTGCAAGCCCACACTGAGGGAGTTCAACGTGAGACTGGAGACTCCCTTGGCGCCGGAAGAGCGCCTGGGACTGACAGGCGATGTGAAGGCCCTCGGCGAGTGGCAGCTCTCACGCTGCGTACCCCTGGACTCGCTCGACGAACTCAACTGGCAGGCGACGGTGCCGCTGCAGTCGTGCCGCCAGCTGGAATACCGCTACTTTGTGTACGTGGAGGATCTGTCCGGCTACAAGCAGATTCGCCGCTGGGAGACACACTTCAAGCCGCGCTCCCTCGGCCCCTGCTCGGAGATACAGTGCAGCCAGATCGATGTGTTTGGCATAACCGCAGACAATGCGGACCTCAAGCCGCAGGTGCATCGCGGCTGGCTCAATCACGAGGTGATTGTTCAGCTCAAGTTCAACGGCGAGAAGATGTTCCAGGTGCACGACATCGAGACCTTTGACCCCCAGCATGTGCAGCTAAAGATTGTGCCCGTTGAGATGACCGCCGGCCTGCAGGTGGAGTACACCAAGCAGGAGTACGGCAAGAGTCAGCTGGAGAATCAGCCCACATTCGGAGTGCCCTACACCAGGGGCGACATTGTCATCTTCCACATCACCGTGCCGCTGGAGAAGATGATGCAGCAGCACTTCCGCCTGGACTGCTACACCATGTCCAATGAGCTACTCGGCAGTGCCAATCTCGTCAGCTCAGAGCTGCAGGGCAGCGAGGGATTGCTCCATCTACGCATCAAGTCGGCCAGCGATGCCGAAGAGACTCTGGCCCGTCTCCGTTTGCCATATGTCATTGTCCAGCCGTACCGCTACTCGCCGCTGGACTTCAAGACCACCTATGCCCACTACTGGCCCAAGAGCTGGCCCAATCTGGATGTGGGACATCGCGGCAACGGCAAGAGCTACATTGCCGATGCCCCAGCAGAGAGGGAGAACACAATTGCCTCGTTTCTGAGTGCCCACGAGCATCATGCGGATATGATCGAGCTGGATGTACACCTCACGGCCGATGGAGTGCCTGTGATCTATCACGACTTTGGCCTGCGCACTGCGCCGCCTGGCAAACAGATCACCAAGCCGGACCAACTGGAGTACGTTCTGATCAAGGACATCAACTATGAGCTGCTGAAGCGGCTGCGCATCTTCTCTGTGATCAATGGGCGGGTGGTGGAGTATCCCTCGCATAATGCCGAGTCCCGGCCCGCACATCGCATCTTTCCACGACTGGTGGAGGTGCTCGACGAGCTGCCCAAGTCCCTGGGCATCGATATTGAGATCAAGTGGCCGCAGCGTCGCCAAGGTGGCGGCTCCGAGGCCGAGCAGACCATCGACAAAAACTTCTTTGCCGATCGTGTGCTCCACCAGGTGATCCAGCATGGCTGCGGCCGTCCCATAATCTTCTCCAGCTTCGATGCCGACATGTGCACCATGCTGCGCTTCAAGCAGAACATTTTCCCCGTGATGTACCTCACCCAGGGCCAGACGAAGAAGTGGCAGCCGTTCCTGGATCTGCGAACAAGGACCTTCGAGGCGGCCGTGAACAATGCCCAGGCCTTTGAGTTGGCGGGCACTGCACCGCATGCCGAGGATTTCCTCGGCGAGAATGCCGCCCAGATGCTGCAGCAGGCCAAGGACTTGGGCCAGATTGCCGTCCTCTGGGGCGACGATTGCAATTCGCGGGAGCGTGTCAAGTATTTCACACAGATTGGGGCCACGGCCACATGCTACGATCGCAGCGATCTCTACATGCCCGATGGCAAGCAGGAAGCGTTCTTCAAGTCACCGGCCCTGATGGCCGAATTCGCGGCCCAGTGCCGGATCTAAACGGGCTGGAAGGGCGGGACGGGTTGGGTCGGGTGAATCTTAGCATAAGTTAATCATTAATCTTGTAAAGAAATTTTTGTATATTTATTTAGAAACGTAACGTAAGCCGGAGAAATGTGAGAAAATGGGGGAAGAAGCGCAGCTTCATAAATTGGTTTATTAAATTATAGGAAACCAAAATGTGTAAAGGCCGTCATTTGGTCATAATTACATTCGTGTAGAAATCTACCCCAGAGCATGGGAGGAATTCCCCTCAAAAATTAAGTAGCAACATAAAAGACAATGTGAGAGAAGAAAGCGATGCGAAAAAGTGAAAAGAAAATAAAGAGAGAAATGAGGATAGCAAACACACATACAATATATTTACACCTAATATCTGCTATAAATCGTTAAATACCTCAATGTGCAAATGTGCAAAAAATCAATCAAGCATAATACAGCAACAAATAAAGCCAAGAAAAGAGTTTAGCTAATTGCAAAGCAAAAACAAGCAAAAACCCACTGCAACTTATTTGGAAAAACTTGTATGCAAAAATACTAAATAGAACATTTTGCTCATTGCTTTCCACACACATATTTGTGTACATATGTAATTAATTATTGGGGCTATTTTTATACCATTTTGCAGCTTTAATTTTGTCTATGTTTAAGCTATGTTCTGTGGCTAGAAGATGAGATACAATTTTACAAGCAATTTCTATTTTAAAACTACAGTACACTAAAGAGAACAATTTAAAATATTGATATTAATGTTTAAAAAGCGATTTAAAACAGCCAAAACACTAAGGCGTGATTGAAGCAATTCATTGAAAAGTAAATACACACGCAATGCAAAGCAACACTCAATTCGGAATGAAGGTGTTTTATTATCTAAAAGTATGTTAAAATGTTTGACACGAGCGTATACAGACCCTCCTGTGTATATTCCGCTCATCCGAAAGTGCCGATTGGTGCCGATGGGGACAAAGAATGTGTCCCCATTTTCGTGCGCTCTAATTCGAATATGAATGTATGCCTAGTATATGTATATGTAAGATCTACACACACATAACGAAAGAAGAAACAATGTAAAATTCGATTCGCTTTACATTTTGATGCGGCAGCATCGTGACGAATGTAAAAGCACCATGAAAATGCTGAGCCCCAAAACACGGCCCATAAACGGGCAGCCCATAAAAGAAAGGCTGGGCGGGCAGTCGTGTAAGAGCCAGGCCTAAAGCCAGTTCAGTTTATGGTCAATTAGAGCACAACTCATTTGCATGTGGCTTTGGAAGAGCCAGTGGGAATGCCTATGCCTCCGCATGGGTCTTTGTCTGTGGCTTTTGGTGTGGCTGTCACCCATCCGAACGGCCAGGGCGTGGAAGTGTTTATACAAAGAATTTCCAGTTGACCGAGAGAAGGTGAGAAAGTGATGTTAAATGATCTTGAAAATTGATAAGCAATCGATTGTTAATAACTTAAAGATCAAGGGCGGCTGGTGGATTTATGGTAGCAATCCAGAGGCAGTGACACGTTGCTACCTCAGCGACCGTAAGCACACAAGCTCCTGTTTGATTAATATATTTGATTTGTATTCCTAGTGGATCTCTATTGGACACGCATCACTATGACGGACTACGCTAATTATGCTGTGGAACTTCACTGCTCTCTGCCCTGGTTCCGTCATCTTCTGGCCATCTACACCAGGTCCAAGGAACCCACACAGGAGACAATCGATGCCGTCAGTGGCTACCTCAAGTCGGTTAATCTATCGTTGCACAACTTTACGCTGGTGATGAAGCCAGAAAACTGCGAAAATCAGCAGCATGAGCCCTGGCAGCGTTGGCATTTGTCCAGATATCTGCATTTGGAATACCATCCGCATTATCTCAAGCCCCTGATCGATGACGACAATATTTAAAGCAACACGAGAGACTCATTCTCCGACTCTCTGCTGGCCCAACTTTCTTTAGCCGGAAATTTACATACGAGCATATGCCAAAATTGGTCAAAAATATATCTGCGAATAACTTAAAAACAATGAGAGAATTGTGCAGCAGTGGCCGAAGTTTAGATACTCTCGGCAGAGTACCCAGCCGCTGGGTAAATAATCAAAATAAATGCTTTGATCTCTGCACAGGTGAAAGAGGTTTCACCCGCACATTAAAATCTACTTTATGGGGCATATATCTTCATCAGGCTTTAATTAACCCACCTTCCATCTATCTTCTATCTGTTCAGAGGCAATCGTTAGACCTCCTCTCTCACCTTCCAACTCAATTAGTGTGCTGGACTTATTAATCAACGATGGGTGCAGAGAGCATCCACAGAAGATCTTCGATACGGAAATCCCAAAATCAAATCCAATTTCAATGAAAACAAAACTCTGCTGAGCTTTAAGAGATTCTTTCATTCGTTTGTTTGTCATCGTTGGGTCAAGTTGCCTGCGCATTCGCGTCGGTTTCGTTTCGTTTTGTCTTTAAGTTTTGTTTCGGGCGCCTCACTTCATTTTGTCGGAAAGAGAAAACTTGTTTCGTTGGCGAGATGATGATGCCCCAAAAATCTGTGTGGAATGAACAAAAATGTATCGATCTTGTGTGTTGTTGAATGTGTTAAAATCAATTAGCATACTGCTGTTGCCGCTTGTGCTTCTGTCCCTGCCCCTATCATTGCGTTGTGCCACCAGCAGTCGAACGGAACTGAATGAAACGCTTGTCTTTGCCACCGAGCAGCTGCAGGCCTTTAAGATCTTTGACGATGAGCAGCCGGCCGGTCAGGTATCGGCTCGCAGCTTCATCTGTGTGCCCCTCTTTCGGATCTTCAGTCTGGAGCTGAGGCACAACATTCGTCTGGCTGCCGACGAGTACATTGCCGTCAGCGGGGATCATGCCTCACTTGGCCACTGGCAGCTGGAGAAGGCAGTGCCCATGAAGGAGCAGAACAAAGCCAGGACCAAGTGGTATCTCCGTTTGTGGGTGTGTGCCAGTCAGCGGTTCTACTATCGCTACCTGATCTACTCGAAAAATGGCCAGGGCAAGCGGATACTGCGCAGCTGGGAAGGCCAGAAGGTGGCCAGAATGGTGCAGACCTACGAGATCTATCGTTCCCCCGGCCTGGACATATTCGGTGAAGCTTATCCCCGTTCGGTGGGTGGTGGCTTCCACCTGGAGCGCGGCTGGTTGCAGCATGAGTACGTAATTGAGCTGAAATTTGTGTGGCAGGAGCACATGATCATCTCTGGGCTGGGCAGCAAGGCCAAGCTGCGATTACTGCTGACGCCCCTCAATGTGATTGATGACTCACGGATTGAGGTCTCCCGATACGCCTACAATCATTCCGAGTTCCGGCCACTCTCCCAGCTGGGAGTGAAGTACAGCCAGGGCTCGATTGTGATCTTTCGCGTCAGTCAGCCGCTGAACATCTACAATGCCTTCCGCCTGTCCATCTATCAGACTGGCAGCAGCAGCAAGCAGTCACTGGGCGAGGTCTACATTTTTCCCGAGCAAATCCGTGGCAGTCGCGGCACCCTACAGCTGCCGATATTCGCCAGCCTACAGACCAGGGCCATTGGACAGCTGAGTCTGCCCTATTTGGTGGTGCTGCCCATGCCCAAGGTGGAAGCGGGCAATCTGCGGGAGAGCTTTCATCACTACTGGCCCGACAATTGGCCCACCATGGATGTGGGCTATCGAGGAGTGGGCGCCAGCTACTACCAGGCCTCGACCACACACACAGAGAACACCATTGAAAGTTTCCTGGCAGTGATGCGGGTCCGTGGAGACATGGTCCAGCTGGACGTCCAGCTCACCAAGGACTACGTGCCCATCGTATGGCACGGCTTTGGGTTCTACACTGCGGCCAAGGATCAGCAGATCAGAGATCGCTTCGATCTGCGCTACGTGCTGATTCGGGAACTAACGTACGCGGAGCTAAAGGCCAGTCGCGTGTTCATTCTGAAGCGTTGGAGCCTGCAGGAGTACTCGCACCTTAACCTGATGGACGCCAGCCAAACCCAACGAATCTTCCCAAAACTGTCGGAGGTGTACGAGACGCTGCCCAAGTCATTGGGCCTCCTGGTGGAGATCAAGTGGCCCCAATTGATGGCTTCGGGTCTACTGGAGTCCACGCAGAGCCTCAACAAGAACGTCTATGTGGATAGAATCCTGCAGATCTCGATTCGCTACGGCTGCGGTCGTCCCCTGATCTTTGCCAGCTTCGATGCGGACATCTGCACCATGATCCGGCTCAAGCAACAGGTCTTTCCCATCATCCTGATGAGCATTGGCCGATCGCACATCTGGGATCCCTACATGGATCTCAGAGCCCAGAGCTACCAGCAGGCTGTCAATTTTGCTCATTCCGCAGATATTCTGGGCACCGCGCTGCACGTGGAGAACTTTGCCCAGAAGCAGCAGCTGGTGAGCATTGCTCTGGACCTCAAGCAGGTGCTCTTCCTATGGGGCAATGATCTGCAGAATGAGCATTTGCTGGAGCAACTTCGTGCAATGGATGTGAGTGGCCTAATCTATGATCAAATGGATCGTGTGGGTCCCGTCAGCTGGAAACGTTCCTCCTTCTTTAGGGCGCCCCAACTGCTGGAACTGTTTGGGGCTCAGTGTGTGGCAAGTGGGAATTCATCGAGCATTCCGGGCGCAAAGCCACCAAAGCCAACCATTTGGCCAAAATTGAGATAGAGAGGAGACAGAGGGGTGGAGAGAGTGTTTCTTTCTAGCTAGAATTTAATAAGGTAAATTTTTGGCATGGTTTTAACTTCAAAATGTATCAAATAATTCGGAGATTAGCTAATACACTTTAATAATTTAATAATCGATCTCATTATAAGCAGAAAATTGTTACTAAATGGTTAATTATTTGTATTTTATTTGATTTATTTATACAAATTGTTTGTATTGGATTGGATTTTGGTTTTAATTTTTTTTTTTGGGTTGTGAACAGTACACAGAAACGCGCATCAGGTAGTCGTACTCCTCATCCGCATAGACACTTAGGGCACAGACACTCGTATGGTACACTGGCTAATGGTTGCTACTGGTTACTGGGTGGAGCAGTTGCCATCGTTGTAGATGACCATGTAGTCATCGGTGACACAGGCACTGCCAAGGGGCATCGACTGGCAGATGCCCTCCACATGCTTGGTGATCTCCACGTAGCAGGAGCGGTGGCCGTGAGAGGAGAGCTTGTGGAAGCCGTTTGTCGGATGCTTAATGACGGTGGGCTTGTGGCTAATGCGATGCTTGGGCGGTACTGGATCCTCGGCAAACTCCAGCCAAGGTGGTGGCATCGAATGCTGCTGCTGCTGCGACTGTCGCTGCGTTTGCGCCTGATCCTCTTGGGCCTCCACCTCCATGGGCAGCTCCACGCCCTCTACATCGTCGTCGAGCGGAAAGGGATAGGACGATGTCTTCGATTTTCCAATGATTCCCCCTTGCTCATTATCGGCCCCAGAGGCGGCAGCGGCGGCGCTGAGCAGTTGTGGCGTCAGCACCAGGGCGTTGGCAATCAGCAGAGTTGTGGCACAGTAGAGCAGCAGATGGAGTTGGGCCATCCTAGTAGTTCGAACTTGTTCCTTGTGAGCTGTTGCACTGGCAGTGCATGAATGTGGCTAGCCAGGCAATCGAAGCGGGTTTTTATACCCACACGGCCTGCAGCTTTACTCATAGAGTGGAATGACCCGATGTGGGCAGTGGGCAAGCCGCAGCAAGCGGCGCCACAGTCAACAATTGAAATTGAAAAGAAGCCACTCAAGAAATGGAATCATCCTCATCCTATCTTATTCCACGCCCACTCCCAGTTCCACTCCAAGTCCCACTACCACTCCTCCAGAGACACACAAAGGGCGTAATTAATTATAGTTGAGTATACGCCACGTAAGCCACACTGACAAGGACTCCCTGTGGTGCTTCCTCCCATTGCCCGACCACCCCCACTGGGAATAGATGCTGAGAAAATTGGAAATCTATTCGCATTCCGTTCATTCGCTTCCTCTCAGTGCGATTCGATTCGATTTGGTTTGGTTTGGTTTGGTTTGGGTTTCTATCTATCTGTGTGTGCGCCCGGCGCCTTCCTTTTGTATTTCCGGCAATTATTTTCGACGATGTGACAATATTGTCGACGCAACTGTGGAGGCAGCACAAGGGGCATGAAGTGGGACGGGGAGACTCTAACGACTTCATAAGCATCTGGGATTCAATTGAATTCAAATGCAGTGCTGCCTTCGAGCAGAAGCAACCAAATCAACGACAACATTTAAGAGGAAGTGAGGCTCGACGCCACTTTTTAAAATGGCGCATACGTGTGCGACGTGTTTATGGCAGATTCTCATCTTCTTTTTTTCGTTTTTATTTTTTTTTAGGATAAATGACATGACAGACAGCCTAGGCAAAAGCCAATAACAAGCTCTGCCAGGATCGAAATTGCCAGAAAACGATTCACAGCTACAGGCTGGTCCAGTCACGTTATTTGGCAAGTGCTTTCCTGTGATTTCTTAACTGTTTTGAGGCTGCTCTTTACTTTCTATTATGTAAATTTGAATTGTATTAAAATTATTTCCCTTTAAGAAAATACCGGTTTGCTTCCGTTTTCAATATAAAATAAATTCTAAGAGTATTTACAGTGATTCCCCGTCACAGTTCAGCTTTGTGCATCTCTAATAGAAACATGTCACAGCCTAGGGACTGCTTATACAGCACGCAGGATGAATAGCTAAGGATCTGGCACCCACAGGAGACTAGACAATGTCAGCCAGCCAGGCAGATATTCGCTGAATCATTAAATTGCTCCATGGAACAGCAAAGCAGCAGGTGAGGGGGAGAAAAATGGCACGTGAAATTAATTTAAATGCTGTGATTGTGGATGAATGACATTTGTTGTCGACTCCTTAGCTTGTTAGCAATTCAATTTGGTCATAATAGATGGCTCCGACAGGCTCTTCGAGTGACTGGCTGAATGACTGGCTGGCTGACTGACTGCCCTTCACTTAAACCTCTACTCGTGCTACCTAATGCCCTTAGGCTGTAGCCTTGTTAAGGAGCTTAACCCTGGGCCGCGGCTCACCTCAATTTCCAACTGAAGGCGAGCTAATTAAACGCCTTTGCCGCTGCCGCTACCGCTGCCACTGTCACTGCCGCTGCCGCTGCCTCTGCCATTGCTGATACCATTTGCTGATGCCATTGCCTTTGCCCAACTAATTAGAGCAACCTGCCACAGATCCAGACAGAACTAGGGCCAGGCCAAGGCACTACAAATAATTCAATTAAATTGCTCACCAACCAACAGTAGACAGAGATGAACGGAACGGAGCGCAGGAGCAACAATAGAGATTGCAGCAGCATCAGCAACAGGAAAGGGGTCGAGGAGGACAAACCACTGGCAGCCACAGCCCACAGAAACCGAGGCATTTCCACACAGAAAATCCCGTTTCAGTGTCGAGACGGATAATGCAAATACTTGGCTTGCTTTTTGAAAAACAACCGCAAAAGCCAAAATGCCAAGTCGAAATTGACAAAAGACAAAAAGAGCGGAAAAGAGAAGAGAGGATTCTGTGCCGAGAGTCAGGCCCCAGACTGCCAATACTGATGGATATTTTCCTTCATGCGCCCATCAATTGCTATGTGGACTCCTGCTCAAGCATTACCATGGAAAGGAAAGAGTCGCAATGAAAATTGAATTGATATCGAGTAAAAATATTTTCAATTGAATTAAACACAAATTTAATTTGTATCAATTGGGAAATGGGAATGGTTGGCAATGAGGGAGTGGGAATGGGAAATATTGCATATGAGTTCTGCATTTAAATATGTCAAAAGGAAATTAAAGGGGAAATCGAATTTTTTCACCACTTTATTGCATATTAAAATACAAAATTGAACGAAACGATGTGTAACAGTTGGAAGGGTAGGAAAGAGTAATATGTTTAAATATTGGTATCTGTTGGACCATTTATGTACACATATACGTAATATTTGGTACTACTTATAAAGCTAATACAGAATACAATAAATAAACCTCAGCAGCAAAAGCTATACTAATGACCGAATCAGCCTGTTACTCTCTAGATCTACGTACTATTTCGTGGAGTGTTTAGTGTACATACGACCCTCATATTTGCTAATAATATGATTTTAATTTATGCGTAATTTATGCAGAAATAAACACAGAGAGAGAGACGAAGATGAACATACTGAGAGATTAATTAAATAGTAATTAAATCAAATAATTAAACTAGACTTTGGCCTAAATATTAATCTTTTAAAATGTATTTTTACTAGTTTTTAGGAATTTAATATTTTTAGACCGATTTCAAACCATTGATAATACTTCAATTATAGTTTTTTCACTGTATTTACAAATGTAATGACATAAATGACGTAAATTTAGATGCAACTAAAACTTTTCTCTGAGTGTACAGATATCTGAGAAGCATCAAAATTTCTTCTAATTACAGAATACGTACATATGTATATACTTATGTACGTACATACATACGAAGATGCACGAATACATAGGAGTATCTTTTACTTTAATCATCATATCCCATGGCCTGTAACAAAACTAATTAAGCCTGCTTTAATGGCTCACTCCCCAGACAACCGGCCATCAAGTTTATGGCCCAGACGCATGCCCTTAACCAAGTCTTGATGGCTTTTGTTATTTGGCTACAAAGTGCCAGAAAACGTGTGACAAAATCGGCAGCAACCTTCAAAAGAAATGCGGAGTAAGCAACCGTTTGTCCGCCAGTGACGGAATATTTTCCGGCTAGGACTACTTGGGTCTGAGACACTTTCCTGCTGGCTGGCGTCTGCTGGCCCAATTTAATCCTTGGCCGCGCCAAAAATGATGGAGCACGAACAACTTTTTGGCGCCGCCAACGTTTTAATTTGCATTAAAACGCGACGCGACTGGAGTTGCCAAAACTCGCGTTCGAGCAACTATTAAACTAAACTTACATCCCACTTGGGCTAAATAAGTTTCTTTCGCTCTCCAGTTTCGTGGGCTTGCATACAAATGGGGCAGCTGAAAACCACCCAGCCACTTGGGCCACCTTAAGGCCTTAAATATGCCAACCATTTTGGCCACAAATCAAAGTAAGGCCTGGAGCTGGGAGCAGGAGCTGTGCCGAAGGGTCGCAACAAGTTGACGGCTTAGCATGTGGGCCATTTTCTCTATGCCCAGCGGGTATCATAAATCGGCTCAAGGCTCAAGGCTGATCAAATGAAATGATTTATGTAAATATCTGATCAGTCGATGGCAAGCAAAAGCAGATAAGCGACAACCCACAAGGAAAACTTTAAGCTTCAATATTAGTCATTTCTTAGGCTATTGGATTCCACTCAGAGTCCATGTCGATGCCATGGCCATTGGTTTTCCGAGAAGAGAAATGAAAAAGCTTTTAATTGTGCGCGTTCCATGTAGCTGGGCTTACGTCCAGTCGAGTCGAAGCCAATGAGCAGCTGCCACATGCCACACACAGACAGACACATGCCAGCAGGGTGCGAGGGCCGCTCCATGGATGCCGTGGCCCTGTTCAATGTGGATTGCAGGCGCCACAAGACTATTTAAAAATTAATACAACTGAAATCCACCATTTTCACGCCAGTTAAGCAACAGACAGGGGGCAGAAAGGAGAAAAAACAATGAATGAAAAACAAGAGGCGATGGAAATTGCATTGCAATGAGCCTCATCGCTGTCTCGTCCACATCGTTCTTCGGCGTTCGTTGGCAGATCAAAGGAATGGAAAATAAAAAATAAAAAATAAAATAATGGGAAATGCAACTTTTTAATACTTTTTGGCCAAAAACGAATAAGCTCGGTCTTGCCACAGACAATGATGATGATGGTGATGATTATCCTAAAGCCCGCGGCTTGAATCAAGAAAGAGCCCAATGGAATTTATATGCAACAAGCGCGGAAGCGAAATCGAGTCCTGGCCACCAGTTTTGCATAATGCGAGTAAAAACCCAACGCAACTCCAAGTTTTTGTTTGTTTATTCTTCGTGTGGAGCCCCCAATTGCCGTGCATTTTAGCTTGTTAAACATGAAATTGAGCTGTTGCCAGAAAGCCACGAAACGGAGCGCGTGGCAGTCAAGTGTTGGTAGCCAGGTAGAGCAAAGGCCCGAAAAAACACACATCAAGTTAAGTGAGTGACCAGCCAGACAAATTAAAAGGGCTCTGAAGAACGAAGAGCTGGCAGTTGGAGAGGAGCAGAGGCGTCTGCTGGCATATTGAAGGATGGATGGATGGGGTTTCACGTCGCTTAAAGGGCTCTATTTATGTAGTAGCCTTTCTGTCAATGGCATATGCCCGAGATGAAACACTGTACTACCCGTACATATATTGGCCTTGACTTTAAGGTGCTTTCAGGCTGTGCCCCTCATTTTTGATGGGTTGCATTTGGCCTTGGCTCTGAACAAGCAAAAATGCGAATTGTTTGCCAACCTAAACAAGCAGACCAAACGCCGTAGCCACTTGTACTATGAAAAAGTCATGAAATTGGTTGCCTTCAAACACGAGTTCTAGTGGGTTGGACTAGGTAAAGAGAACCATTTAGTTGGGGCCAGGGAATTGAGAAGCGCTAGGTTATTGCGCT